AACTTTCTACCGAAAATAGCTGTCAATCTCTAAGTTAAACATTGAAAATTGCAGGACGTCTTTTGCTCGTAATAATATGTCTAATATAATAAAAATGGGTAAAATCGGGTCATTGGTTCCCAAAGCAACCATATACTTAACAGACGGTTTTTAAATATTTCGATTGACTTTATACCATATATGTATATTGATCAATAAGTGAGTTATTATGCTTAAAATTAGTAGAATCGGTTCGATACCCCAACATATGCCGCATGTATCGTTCAATGTGTGGGTTACCTTAACTTACCTACTTAATATAATATCAAATATGATTGTAATCCATTCGGCTTCTTCAAATAATGCATATTGAGTGTTGCAAAAATATATAATCCATACTTGTTAATATTAATCAAAAGTAAGTAAGTAAATCAGGATTGCATCTAATGATGTCATCGCTTAACTTTATTCATATAAATTAATGTATATACAAGTACATAATATACTCATAAATATACGTGTATGTATGTTAGCAGCGTTTTGGAAATGTAGAGAGTATTTCTATGAAGTTAGAATTGTGATTCCACAAGAAAATTATCATTAATGTCGACTTTAATGTCGGCTTTAATGCAGCAATTATGTCTTTTCATATTTATATGTAGAATTCCGTCCGAGCATAATCCATTTCTACTTGTTTATACTCGTATGTAATAAAACTTGTTTACAGTCATAATTCCATCAAAAGTTATGGCTTTGCGGTTTTGCTTACAAAGAGATTTTTAATTTCTTTATCTGCAAGTGCGTATGTGACAAACAGCTCGTTACAAATCTTAAAAGCGGAGGCTTAACCATCGTATTATATGCATTTAGAAACATAACCCCATCTGTCTCGCTGAAAGCAGCTGAAATTTACCCTGTTTACATGAGTATATATGGGTATTCCTATATCAAAAAAGGTTTATATGTGAAGGTTAGTATGTGAATCCAATCGCAATGAATAACTGAGTATGAATCGAACACACGTGCGTGTTGTTTGAGCGCCAATTTGCGGGCGTGCGTAGGTTAAGTATTATATGTGATGTGCATATACATACATATATACATCTATATATATGCGTGTAGTATATATGGATATATAAAAGTTATTACTTATAAGTGATAAAATATGTTTGGCGGCTGCTATTGCGCATTCATATAAAATATTGACAATGTCCTGCGTTCAACCGAAACCTGAATGTGCTTACATATGCACAAACATGCCTCTATATGTGTATCCTTAATGCTTTCAGCAGTGACAGCAATGGCAACGCATGTTTTTTAATAGGATTTCACTTGGATGAAGGCACGAAAAATATGACTTTTGTTAAATTTAATGCCAATGAATTGCAAAAAGCGTGAAGCGTTACGATTTTGATGTGATTTCGATATTTTAAAAAGCGAGCAGCACATGTCGAACAAGCGCAAAAGACAACAACAACAATACAAATGTGCATGTATGTACAGGGTGTCATATAAGTACTCCTGTGCGCACAACCCTGCTGCAGGTAATTCAGCAAATGCGAATGTGTGTGTACAGGAATCACGCCAATGCGCCAATAAACACACATGCACATACATAATACATACAGATATACATTTAAGCACCATGGAACACACACATGCCGTTGCGGATCATAATCCTTTGCAAGTCACTTTTCTATTTCACTATTTTTTTACTTTTATGCCTCGCATATATGAAAGTAAATATGTGGTATGTGTGTCAGCATATCCTTTTGTGGGACATTCGCCGTAACTACCGTACAACAAAAGTGTTGGTGCGAAATTTAAAAAATCTTAAGCCGTAATCTTTGCACACTTTGGATGCGTTTTGACATTTTTATTAGTTTATTGTCGCAAACATTCTTCCATTCTTCAAGCAAGGACTCGGCATACGTGTATAATGTGCCCAAGCAAGCAAGAGCAAGAAAAAGTGCAGTTGTTCCGTCTCTTGTCTGTCATTGTTGCTCGGCTTTGTGTTATACGCAAGCAGCTTAGGACTATCACACCTTTATCGGGCATTAGAAAGGGTCTCTTGTTAACCAGTGTTCGGCAGCTCAACAGTAGCCGTAGCAATTTCCGTCTCATCTCGTTGTCGCCTCAACTAGCCGGCTGATTGAGTGGAGCGCATGAATGGCGACGAATGGTGAAGGGCGTACGGAACGACCTCTTAAATTGGATTAAGTGGTGGAGAATTTTGACTTTTTTTCGAACTTATTGTATTCGGTTCAACACAATTGGCAGCAACAATTGGCGAAAAATAGTGTAGAGCCGCAAATATTTGTATGTGTGTATGATTTTAAATTTGTCCGTGTGACTTTTCAAAGCAATGAATGTCCTTTGTCGGGCATGTATGTTGTTGGCAAATTTTCAACGAAACTGGATGAATTTCATGTTTTGTGTTTGGTCGACAATGTCTTTTGAGGCGTAAAATCCTGTCAAGATATCAGAAAAGTTGCATAGATCCGGCATTATGTCATCAAGTGTGAATAATTATGTAATAAAAGTAGTAGCATATGTGTATTACATATGTCAACAGCTATTGGATATGTGTACAAAATATTAATAAATTGAAGACAAGCTGAAAGAATGGCAGAAATTGTGAAATTGTTGCAACCCCAGAAGAAGTAATCTCTTCTCATAAATTGTGAATAGTAAGATGGTGTTAACAGAATAATCAAGCTAATCTTATCTTTTTGGCAGTACACATTATTATGTACGCGAATTTAATTAGCAGGCGTGGTGGTCATGTCTGAAAACCCTGAAAAAATATTGAACCCCTAGCGTTTTATGAATCCGGCACAACGTAGCGAACCAAATTTCAAATATTCGAAAATGCTATTTGAAATACGAATAAATAAATTTTTATATAGATCTGGCATGGGTTTCCAGTTATAGATCTAAACTAACTAGCTGACTTCGATAACTGAATATCTTGAGGAAACATACCTTGAAGCACAACAATTTTTCGAAAAGCGCTTATACGTCATCAGAACAAACCTGGATTTGTACCTGGCCGGGGACTGTCTTACGGGCAGCATTTTCTTAACGACTTCAAATATTTCTGTATCATTACAAGAACAACAACAGGATAAAAGTCTCACTCTCAATCAATATGTCTAATTAAAATATATTCAAGATCTTTTAGAAGAGAGTAACAACACATCTTGAGTGCATTTGTGTGCGACCGAACGACCTTGTTATCAACACGAAGTTCGTTTATCAGGGAGTCGCTTACTTCCTCGATATGCTACACACTCTACAGTTTCGTTCTTCCCTTTACTAATCTGAAAGAACACAATTAATCTAGGAAAAAGCCTATGTACTTAATGGAAGCAAGTTCGGAAACCCGCATGTAGTAATTTCTTCTTTCCGATAGTCAAAAAAAAAGTAGTAATTTACGCTACTTAAATGCTCCACTTTCTCGGGATGCTATATTATAATGCTAATCAAACTGTGAAACCAATGCATAGCATCAATCCACGACAGATTTACAAATAGTTATTCGTTCGTGGGAAAGTTTTTTTGTACGGAGCAATAAAGACTAAGTTTTTATATTTTTTGGTGTGCTCCTCGAATACGTACAAAGTGAGGGTCATACAAGTTTTAAATCGCCTCCGAATGGCTTATGTATTTTTATGAGAACTTGTTCATGATAAAAATATGCTCTCTTCGATCTCTTTTATGATTAAATATGTAATATTGATCCAAAACTATAATCAAAGCAGCTTCGAAATGGTATTTTATGCAATATTGTACCGTTACTTTATTTCATGGTCGAATACTTTAATTTATTTAATCATAGTAGACTCTCCATCGAGTATTTTAATCTGTCTATAAGAAATCCTGTTCCCTAGTAAGTTACTCTATTGCAGAGTATTTCAATTCATTCTAAAGAGGCACTTCGTTGAGTTCTTTTTTATTGTAATTTTTCTAAAGGCTATGTCAGAATGCGTACATTATTTGTCAGTTTAAAGTGATCGCCATTTAATGTAATTGGTTGATTGGAATAAATTTTTATTTTACATTATTTATAAAAGAAAACCTCAAGCTTTTAAAAATAGCTCTTAACCGCAGATTATGAAACGTTTTTTTTTGTGCTGGCAAGTAGGCTGCTCGGAGCCATTTTGCTAGATAAATGAAAATGTATGGATCAATTTAGACGAATGATACGGTCATCAAAGCATTGATCTTCTGTGCAAGCCAAACACTAAAGCATGCATTATTTTTTAAACAATTTAGATTATGTAAGGAGCTTGAAAGTTGGTATTATTAATAGTTTTTAAAGAACTAAATAACATTTGTTCCACCTTCATATTCCGGCAGAAAATTTGGATGGAGTTTCTAAAATGTTTATAACTTTAAGAGCGGGCAACTGAACCCTCGCATTTCATTGGTGTTATATCTATATATGTACATATAATATAATATACATATAAAGATACCAATTAATTTACAATATAATTTATATACCCAGAACAGGGTATATTAAGTTTGCCACAAAGTCATTTGTCGAAACTGTCGATATCGGATCATTATAGCGTATAGCTACACTAGAAACTGAACGATCGAAAACAAGTGTTTGTATGAAAAAAAATTTTTTGAAAGAAATACATATCTTCAAGAAAGCTGGTATGGATTATTGGTTAAGACAATGGTGCAATCTCCGAAGAAAGTGTTTACATACTAAAGTATATAGCTGCCATACAAATGACCGATCAAAATCAAGTTCTCATAAGGAATCTTTTGTATTTGTGAAGTGTATTATAGCTTCGGTGCAACCGTGTTAAGCTCTCAAAATAAAACTTGAGTTTTTTCCTATTTATTACTTAATTTAATTCATATGCAAAAACAATTCGATAAAATCTTCGCATTATTTTTTTTGAAAACACCAACACATTTGCATTTATATGCGAAAATATGAAATTGGAATTTACGAGCCGCGATATTATTTGTGGTTTTCTGGGAAACGGATTGATAAGAAGTGTGTCAAGAACTCCAATGCTTTCAAACAGAATGCAAGCACAGTTTGATGCAAGCTCTCAGTACGTGATGTTCACTCGAGTTCGTGTTAAAAAAATATAAAAAAGTTAATATCCAAAAGAGCAAATACTCCGCAACTTTTTCAAATACTTAATTTGTGGCTTAATATTATATACAAAAAAAAAATTTGTTAAAGAAATGTCAAATCATTTGATAAACCAATTAATCGTGATCGCTTTGGCGATTCAGCTCAGGCAACTCTACGTAGCTGCCGACATACCGAATTGTGCATTTCGAGACACCGTTAGCCTGGCAAAAATACGATCAAATTCAGATGGTTCATATACTTATCAGGGCTTACGCATACCCCACAACATGACAGCCGCCTATAGCTATGATGAACTCTCCAATGGCACACGTGTTTCAGTACCAATACACATCAGGGGTTGTGCCTGTAAGCTGAAGCAATGCATACAGCTCTGTTGCTCGCCCAACGAGCTGTTGGACGACAAAACCAAAAAATGCACTAATAGGGACACCCGTGCTTACCCTAGGATTAACATTTTAACGGCAGAAGAAAAGTTTAAAGAAATGATCGACGTATTTGAGGAGTTCGTACCGCAGCAGCGCATGCCTTGTGAGGAGTTCAAAATTCTCAACTCGGTACTGGTCGAAGATTACAATGTTCTCTATGAGGTAATGTTAGCGCAGGCATGGAAAAGAGAAATTTGTGTAATTTTTGATATTTTTGAAATTTTAACAGGACGGCACTATTTTTTACGTGGTTAAAAGTAAATATATAACATATCGTGATTTTTGCCTAACACCCTTTCTGTACAACAAAACATGGAAGTTGAATCCTGTCGAATGTTTTAAGAAAATCCAAATGACGACTTATATGTATATGACACGTTCGTAACTAAATTAGAAGACTACTATTGAAAATTGGTTTTATTCATGTTTTGATTTGTAGTATTAACTATGTCGGTGCCGTTCCTCTTGGCCACAATTTGGGTGTATTTATACGTGCCTCAACTACACTGTCTGCACAATAGCTGTCTCGTCTGTTTCCTTGGCACTTTTGCGGTCGGCAGTTTAATATTGTCGTCGGTGTTGTGGATCAGGTACAGTTGGGAAGCCTGTCAAGCAATGGGTGCGTACGAGATATCCAAACAATCCTTGTATAGGCTTCACTTCTTGTTATCTTGTTATCTTATAATTCTACCCTGTTGTAGGTGTCCTATGCTATTTCTTCATGATATCTGCTTTCTTTTGGCTGAATATTACTTGTTTCGACCTATGGTTGAGTGTACGTGGCATCAGATATGAGCTTCAGCCGAGCAGTCCCCGTTTGCGTTTCGTTTACTATTCGATTTATGTGTGGTCAGCAGCAGCGATTTTTGCACTTATCGCTATAACTATTGAATATACAAACATAAGCGACGCTTGGAAGCCAGGTTTTGGAAATGGTCAATGCTTCATAAAATGTAAATAAGTTTGAATAATTAATTTTCGTTTTGTAATATAATTAAGAATCTTTATTTTTTACATTATTCCAGCAAGAGACTGGTCAGCAATGCTATATTTTCAAGGTCCAAGCGGTTTGTTGAATTTATTTAATGTTTTCTTTTTCACAATGAGTGTTATAAATTTGTATCAAATCAAAGAAGATTCATATGAGCTCAAGAAAGAGACGAGTCAACAGTACAAGTAAGTGGTTTATACAGTTTTCCCCAGTAATTATATTTATATGTAGGTAGTTAATATTTTCGGCTTATATATCATTACAAAGCTACTTTTTAAAATGAAAGTAAAAAATCGCTATACATAAATTGATTTTAAGAAAAAAGTAAGCAGAGATTCAAATGACTTAATTCAAAAAATTTAGTTTGTGTTAGGGTTTACTTCTTAATTATTTAACACAATTTTATTAGATAACATAACAGATAATATCAATATATGTAATTATTTATATATTTATTTTTATCAAACTTGTCATCGATTTTTTTTAAATGATTAATATGTACTTTTTTATTATAATTTTTGTTAGCTATTCTTATTACTTTTGCTTTAAACGTTTCGTTTAAAATTTATTTTAATTTATTAAAAAAAATTTACCGATAAAAATCGATAAATATTTTTTTTTTTTTAGAATTATTTTCAAAAAAATTTAGTGGTTTTTATGTTACATTTATAATGTCCGCATTAATGCTACATTTTATTTCCCTATCAGAACAAATCAATATGTCATTTTTATGTTTCAATCGATTTTTTGGAGTACCGAATTTATATATGAGAAATACTATTGTGTCCAATACTATTTGATATCTGTTTTGTATATTATATATATTTCATAAAATCTTATAACTAGTTTATTAACTTTTTTGATAAAAAATTTTATAATCTTCCTGATGCAAATCGATGTTTTGTCGCCTTTTATCTTTCAATATAATTTTCTTATTTTTCATGCAATTATTTTGATCAAGCATATAATTTGTAGCGAACACTTATCAAACTGTTTTAAATACCAAAGCTTTTCCAAATTTAAATAATCTTGATTTAAAAACAATCGTAATTTACATTTGTCCGAAATATTGAAAAAAAAGTTTTCAATCTTCTTTTCTTTTCAAATTTCTACAGTTATGTAAATATTAAAATACCCCTTAGATTTTTTTAGTTCAATAGCACTACAGATATTTAACACACGGTACCTTTTTATAATTATCTCAATGAATGCTCTTTTATAGACTTTCAACATTTCTACGCTTATTCCTGGTAATGGGTGTTTCATGGATTCTGGAGGTTTTTACCTACTTGTTTGCAAATAATAATTCATTTATCATCGTAATAATCAATACGTTGAATGCCTCACAGGGCATAATATTATTTATTGTGCTTGTGCTGAAGCGAAGAGTATTAATTTTGCTGAAGAATCGGTAAGTAATTGTCGAGGTGCAATTATACTTGTATGTGATTATATAATCTTTAAAACTTTTAGGTGGAACAGAAGTATATGATGAGGAGATTCATAGGGCAAAAACCCGCTACAATTATACATACTTGTATAAGGTAAAATAAGTAGACATAACTGCACATTTTCGATAGCTGTTTACTATTTCATTCCGTACTGATTACGAGTACATCGATTTAGTGACGAATTGCGGTTATGCCTCACAAATAAAGCAATTAAAATATCTGACTTACTAAATGAGAATAAATATTCCGTTAGTTAAATATCTAAAGACAATATTTTCGAGCATATAGAATATAAATTTGTTAAAGCAAAACAAATAATGATGTTAAAATGTTAAATTTACTTAAATTACAACTTTGTGGGTATCAGTTGTTCTACGTTTACCCAGTATATCAGATTGTATGTTATGAGTTATCAGAAACATGACGTTCAGAAATTTTATATACGAAACTATCAAATTTTTAATTAAGTATATGTGAACTCACTTCTAACAGAGGGTAGTTGACATTTTATATAAAAAATAAATTTTAATACTTTCGTAAAGTTTGTTTATTCTCTTTTAATTTTAAAAAATTATTAGTTTTTAAAAACAATACTCTGACTTCAAAATTGATAAAGTCTCACAGAACTGCATTTAAATACTGAATAATTGTTATAATTTACAAAGAAATAATATGCATTTGTGTTTGTGTCAACAACATACAAACGAGTTGTGGTTTTTCGTAGATTAAGATAGTATATTGTTAAGTATATGTATATGATGGTATTACACGGTACCAAATAAACATTCATTGCTATATGAGTTCATAATTACTTTTTTCCATTTACTTTAAAGTTTGCGGTTTTATGATATCTTTAACTCTTTAAGAATGTTGTTATGTGGCAAATTCCATAAATTATGCGTGACATAAGAATAACTAAAATATCTGTTTTCAGAGTGGTGTTCTTTTCCGTTTTAAAGATATGAATTTTTGAATTTTGGCCTAATATTTAGTTTTTTTTCTATTTTTTCAACTTTTTTTGTTGAATATTATTATTCTGTCACATGATTATCAAAAAAAAATTTTTTTATTATTATTATTATTTTTACATCTCATTAAGATAAGAAAAAAATAGTGAGCTTCATTGCTGAACAATATTGTTTTGAGAAAATCGGGTTCGGTGGCCATCTCGTTTTTCGACCATTCACCGAACGACGCGCTTAATGGTCGGTCGGCTTCTATTCTTGCACTAATTGGATTTTGTAAACCCGCAAACCAAGTTCCTCCCGCAAAATCTTCCATAAAATGCATTGACGGCGCGGCTCCAATTGTTGTGTGCGAAGGCGGGTAGACTCATTCGGGTCTTCTTCGATACTTTGCTCCACAGTAGCAATAGCGAGTTGGGTGCGTATTGTACGACTTCTCGACGGATGCGCATTATTCACTAGAGTGCTTGGAGGTGGAGTGAAACAGATTCATAGTTGCTAAAATTACCAATTTTTCTGGGCGATTATGTCGACCGAATATTAGACGCAGCGCTCGATGCGTCGCGCCAACCGAACCATTAGTTTGCTAAGAAATTTGCAAACGTTTTTCCGAAATAAGTCTGTAACAGCTGTCAAAAGGACCAACTGCAAAAAAAGTACTGCCTCATAGAATATCAGGTTATTGTACCTAGGTACAATGTGTACGAGTATGTACATATAGTACATATGTTAACTGTTCCTTGCAATTAGGCTTACACTATCTGCCACTGTTTATCGCAAGCTGACAAATTACTTTGTATACATAAAGAGATCGCAAAATTTAGACAAACTCTAACGACAAGCTCTCTAATTGAAGCTGCATGAACCCGAGTGCACCAGTAAACTAAAAAAGAAAATATTATTTCTCTTAACTGTGCCTTTACTATGCTTGCGCTCCATGTCCAACATGTAAAGCTTTTGTTTACTTAAATATCATATAAGTATGTTCTCTTAACTTTTCTATAAACGACTAATATTTAACACTTGTGTACATTTATCTAAAGAGCTAACGGTGATAAAGTCACAACACTCTGATGTGTTAACTTACTCGTTCTACAGATGCCTCTTCTGATGCTGTGGGCTGGTATCTGTTATAGCTTGACAATAGCTACAAGTACAAAGTTTTAGTAATATATACCACAAGCAAACATATGTACATACCTATATACTTATATATGCATATAGATGTTGAAGCTACAGTCCTCAGGGAGTGCGTTGCCTGCATATTCGCCTCCTACATATACAAGTAATATCCTTTGTGGCAATAAAGTTAGTACATTGCTTTTGGCAAGTATTTGTTGTTGTAATAAAAGGTGCTAACTTTACATTGTTTCAACGTTCAAAATTTGAAAGGGAAAAGTTTAGTCTCTAACTATTTGCATGTACCATGTATGGCCGCGTTGCTCCTACAAGTGCTCATATAGCCAAATGTTTGACCAAAACAGGGTTGGTGTGAAATTTTGTATAATTTTGCATTGCTTTCTACTACTGACACCCTGTTGAAGCACGGTGAATTAGATATATTTAGAACACTTCGAGATCGACTTTGCGCATATCCATATTGGAAAAGGAAATACTTCCGAAAAAAATTATCCACAGATGACGCTGAGGTCGAATTATTACTCAAAGACGCAAATCTTACCGCGCATATTATTTTGTGGGTCGAGGCTTAATGGCAATTAACTCTTTCCACCACATATTTTATATGTAGCAAGTGTAAACAAGAAGTAAATCGGGATATATAATGTTTCGGCATCATACAAGTATTACAATAGAACCAACAAAAGTAAAGTCGATGGTCTACTAAAAAGTTTACTGAATCCCTTTTTGGCCAACAAATCGCGAATTAAATTTCAGAGTATTTTGAGTATTTTTATACCCTGTATAGGGAATATTAAGTTTGCCACGTTGGTTTTAACACCTAAAAGTAAACGTCAGAGATCCTATAAAAAATATATATATGAATGATCAGCGTGACGAGCTGAGTTGATGTAGACATGTCTGTCCATCTGTCGGTCTGTATATATGCGAACTAGTCCCTCAGTTTTGTTCAAAAAAGTGGTGAAATTTATCCACATGTTCTCCTAACATCTAGAAATCGAACAAAATTATATTCGCCTTTCGGTTTCTTCGTTGACCAATTTCTTTACTTTGGGATTGTTACTTATTAAAAAATATGACTCCGTCATACTGAATATTACGATTTCTGGAGATTTTATCAGCAATACAAGTATATTGGCATTTTCCTAAGCCTAAGTAAGTTGCTCAAGCACCCTACAATATTTCACATGTCCATTTAACGTAAGAACTTAGTTCGTAAGTCTGTTCCTACTTAGAATTTAGTGACGCATACTGACTCAACCAACAATATCATGCTTGGAATAACATTGAAAACAGCATTGATAAAGCTCAAAATCATTTTAGTGATTACCTCAACACTACGTTTTTGTGCTTAACAAGTCTCATAATATTATATATACAGGGTTCGACATCTTCTATATTTGCTTGGATATGTATTGTATTTGAAATAATAGTATTATCATAAATCACTTCAAATTAAAACAACGCGTCGAAATCGGAGAACTTGACATGGTCAATGAATCTCGAAATAAGAAAATTTTTATGAGCATATGGTAACTGTGTGGCGTCTTTAACAAACAACATTACAGTATTTTGACAGTTTACGGTTGTGTCGTGTCAAGCTGCCATGTTATATTTGTTTAGTATTATTTGGCATTTCATCATAGAACGTCTTATGCCTGAACAACATTAATAAATCGTTCAACTTTATTACGAAAATTTACGTTCTGTAAAGAATGTATTTCGCGCGCTTCGCTCAACTTATAGTCAACATAATCGGTCTACTGAGCGTACTATTCGCAACATTGTTAATTTAAAAGCGTACAAAAATTGAGGCCGCTTGACCTTCCCAAGCGACATCGCTTCGCTCTAAGGGCTCTTGAAAAGTTCAAAGAAGATCCGAAATTTTTTTTCAGCGATGAGACCCATTTCTTGCTCAATGGGTATGTAAACAATCAAAATTGTCGCAAAGCAACCTGAAGAAATTTAAGAGCAGCCATTTCATCCAGGAAAAACAACGGTTTGTGGGCCGATGGGATCATGGGTTCATATTTCTTCAAAAATGTTACCAGTGAGAACCGTCAATGCCGACCGTTATTGTGTCATGATAACCGACTATTTCATGCCGGAAATAAAAGCTCGTGAACATCACTTTATCACTTCCCACACATCGCATCAATCAATGGATTTATTGAGAGATCACTTCAGTGAGCAGATAACGTTTAACGTTTTGAGCCGGTCGATTGGCCACCAAGATCGTGTGATATCACTCCGTTAGACTTTTTCTTGTTGGGATATGTAAAGCCAAGGGTCTATGAGGACAATTCCGCTTCAATTCAGGCCTTGGAGCAAAACATCACGCATGTCATTCACCAGTCGCCGGTCGAAATGCTCGAACGAGTCCTCGAAAATTGGGCTTAACTAATGGACCATCTGAAACGTAGCCGCTGCCAACATTTGAAAGAGACAATCTTCAAAAAAAAAAAAAATATCAAAGACTGTTCTTTCGAATGATAATAAACATTCCCCATTAAATTTGAATTTTCTGTGTTTTTTCTTTAAGAAAGTAGGGAACCTCAAAATAGATCACCCTTTATAAATAGCTTTATTATGAACTCATACGTATTTTGTATAGTGAACAGTGACTCGCTCGAAAAATAAGTAAAGTTATTTGACTTATTTCAGGATTATGGTTCTACATGGTAAGGAGTGAAAACAAGATAAAAAAAATATTTCTAACAACGAATCTGTACTCCTCGAAATTTTGAAATTATAATATTTTAGCAATAGGATATATCTATTTATAATATAATCGCTATAATTTTTTTTTCATGGCAGTCTGACATGCATGTTGAAAAACGGCTATAAAATGTTATGTAAACCTTTGACGCTTTCCCGATTGCTTATATAAGAGCCAAGCGCTGATCGATATTAGGTATCGCAGAGTGGATGCGAGATTTAGATTTTTCATTTTATTCGCGCTTATGCAAGTGAAAAGAGAAGACATGGACTCCTCGTATAAATAATACTTTGCATCCAGCTCTGTGCTAAAAAAAAAAGCAAAAAAAGAAAAAAAAATGTGGAAAACGGTTGGCCTCAAGGGCCATCCCTGCAACTTCCCTCTAATTTCATACGCAGACGTTCAAATTCCGCTTTTTTCACCGCTTTTGAGCTCTTCGAAATTTTTCGTTTTCGATATCTCGCAAGTAAATCAACCGATTTCGACCCGGTTTGCGGCAAACGATGTGTTTTTTCAAGGTTTAGAACTGATTAGTTTTTGGTGTTGATCGGTCAAGTCGTTTGGAAGAAATTCGATTTCTCAAAATCTACTGGTCCGATTGGGTCCAAACTCACACGAAATTCAAGTGCAATGAAACCCTTTGGAATGCCGTTCAGTTTATTCAAATCGGTTGAGCCGTTTAAAAGTTATAAGAGGGTCACATACATCCACACACAC